CATATCGGGTTGGTCCTGCAAGGATGGCGGGTCGATCAAGCAAGCACGGCGGTGGGCGGGCGGCTGGCAGACAGATTTGTCTTGTGCAGTTTTTGGCACCTCGTCAGCTCGTGGGAAGCTCAACATTAAATGTGCTGTGATAGTTTCAAGTTTCGCATCATGCTGACCGCGGATGATCAAACAAACCCCCACCTTTCCGGCTTCAACAGCTTCGGAGGAAGAGTGACAAATGGGGAGGCTACTCCAATGATGTGGCCAAGGCGATCCGGTTCTTTGCGTGGCCACTGAAGAGGGGACCTTGTGGTGGACGCTTTGATCCATCGTCGTGACCTCGGACGAAAAGCAGTCGGTAGGAAAGTTGGCGGCGTTGCAGATTCAAATGTATGCCCACTCGTGATAACATCTCGATTCCCAATGCCGGAGGGAAGCAGCACGTAACTGCAGGCCTCTGAAGAAGGGAATCAGGACTTGAGTTGATGGGCAACATGATACCCCAGCCCCTCTATAATAAAAGCAAAAACAGGCCTATACCGGAGCATAGCATAGGGGATAGGACGAGTGAAGCAAGGCCATTCATTGGTCAAGGAGCAGCCAGCAAGGCCGTTGCATCTCGTGGCGGCGAAACAAGTTGCTTCTTGCTTTTCCCTGTGGCCTCGGCCGCTATGCTCGACTTGCATAAGGTCGTCGGCAAGCAAGCAATGCAGAGGCGGGGCGGAGGCGTTCATGCCCACTGCCCATGCTGCCATGGTGTTGCTGTCCAGTGTCCACTTGCCGTTGCTGTTGTCCACGCTGCTGCTGATTCGGCCGGGGACGGTGCAAGTTGCTAAAAAGAAAACATAAAAGCGGGGACACTGGAAGGCATTGGCTGGCCCCGCTGCCCCGCCCCGTCCGCCCGTCCACATCCAAGGAGAGATTGGCGCCGAAATCTGGCACCAAGCCCAAGTTCTGAAGGCTGAAGCAGGTTTCAGATACCCTCACATGGGCTCTGAGGATCCGCGTTGCCCATGTGGCCCCCTTTTTAGACCGGCCTGCTTGGCACTTTGCTGGCAGGGAATGCGGGAATGCCTTCAAGGATGAAGGAATACAGAGGTGAGAGGTGAGTAGAGTCACAGTCTGGCAGTCTGGCTGGCAGAGGGAATATGTCGGAGTAGGCAATGCAACCTGCCCGATTAAAGCAGCGGCTAGGAAATACTGCATCGGGTTGTTCTGGCAACCAGGTAAACTCATAGAAACGTACTGGTACATGCATCCATTTGCTCTATCGCATCGTTCAGACCCTCAGGCATTGCTCATTTTGCTTAGACCGGTAGCTATTCACTTACGAAATGTTTTATTTTATTTCTGATTCATGTTTGAATGAGAATCAGACCACTAGCCATCATTGCAGAAGAACCAGCAGTCGTGACTAAAAGAATCTCAAGAACACCGCCCCCGAACAAAGACAGATGGACAACGCCTGATGACTGATGTGGATGTGTAATATAGTAGAAATCCATTCGGTTCCGCGCCAGACTTTCTAGGTTAGCTGTTCGATGACCTCTGCGCACGGCCGATTGACTAACAACCACAAGCGTAATGAGTCTTCCATCACCGTTTTGCGCGGTCTCTCTACCGAACCATCAGGTCATTTCGCGATACACCAACATACGGAGATTACCTACTGATCAAGAAAATCCCCTATTGTCTATCGAGTGTCTAAGACAGGCGACATGGGATTGCGGTGGGGCATGAACCACCCTAACAAACATAACAGTTCCCTCTTTGTTGCATAGGCTCACCGACCCAACATGCGACAGAAGAGTCAACAACCAAAGAGAAAGAAAGAGATGGTCAAAGTTGGACTGATGGGTTGAATCTGATCCAATCAAGTGTGTGGAATCATCCGGTACGGACGACATAGGGCCTACCATGGATCAAATGTAACTCTACCACGGCTGACAGACTTGTGCTACCCGCCGCCCTAACAACTCTGGCTGTCTGGCGGCTGTCTGGCATCATTGAAGCTCAAAAAACAACACTTCATTGCCACTCACCCAGCGTCTTCTTGCGCCATACGCTGTAAACGCCCTGGAGGAGAGACGATTTCAAATTCTGCTGCTGGAGTGACTCTCAAACTACACGGCCACTACCCTCATTGAAATAGCAATCCGATGGCCATAGCACACATGGTGTTGAAGCCTTGCTCTTGGAACATCGAAGAATACGCGATTTTCTCCTCTCGTTTTTCTCTAGCAAGCTGTCAAGGCTGTGATCATCAACTACCTGGCAGCTATCAGGGAAGGACATGTCGACTGTTCTTCACGATGGCAGAGCCGAGTGATGAGGGTGACAGGGGAAATACATGGCGAGCCGCGAGAGAGCGAGAGAGGGGGCCGTGAGCCCGCGTAGAAAATCCTTGCGATTTGATTTCCAAGGGTAGCACTCGCCCATCCATGTTGAAGACAGGCACCCCTGCCATCGGCCTCCTCGCCTCGGATGGCACCATCTTGGCACGCCTGTCCAAGCGATTTCCAAGACTCAAGAGAGCCGATATTGATGAGATACCACGAGAAAGATGGCCCTTTGCTTCCCGCAGGTTAGATTTTTGAGCGTTTGGAGAAACAAGTAACAGCTGTGATGCCGGCGGCGTGCGGTGGCTACTATATAGACAGGCGAGGAGAGACACCTGTAGCGAGAGACAGCTGCTCGGGCTGGGTAGGTATTAGGTCTTGGTAGACATGTCGGCGTGGCACACGGGCACACAAGCAGATAGGGGTCCGCGTCTACACCAGATGGATGATTGAGGCTGGGTCAAGCCACTCGATGTATGAAGCCGCTGCCTCGTTGTCACGTACATGATGGATGGATGTAGGGGCCGAGAATAGACGAATCGTCCATCTGTCCCGCAACTGGTAGGAATCAATCACGGACATGCAGTTGAAATGTTACTCAAGGAGAGACTCACACGCTCCTATCTCCTACATACCAACATAGGAGGTACGTAGGTATGTAGATGATAGATCTGAAGTCGCCTGGCTCTTTGACCTTCTTGTCGCCTCTCTGGAGACTGAATCAGCTGCATGCATGTACACACTGACCTGGTCATCGACGACGGGGAACCCCTCAGTCAAGACTCAAGGCTGCTGCTGCTAGCAGACCTTGACTATGCCCTTCTGAACATTCTCCATCAGAGGAAAAGATGAGCCACAGCTAGTAGATCCATGGTTGATGTGTTCGTGTGAGCTGTTCCTGCTTTTTGCAGGCTTCTTCCATGCAGCCGCGATGTCGGGGATATCGGTGGGATGATGGGATGTGGTCAAGCGTCGTCTCTAGTCCAAAAAGCACGCGCCGCTCGCTGTCTGCATGTGTACCGGCCACAGCCGCCGACGAGTAGCGCATGTACCTTCTGCCTCTGAGCTGCTCACATCACCCAATCTGGCAATTTGCTAACATTGGATCTCCATGTCGTGCCAACTGCAACCTCTCCATGCCAGGCGCAATGCAGAGTGCGGAATAGGTACGACTGGAGAGAGAGAGGGAATACTTCCCCAGTGGGGCAAGTCGACACCATCGCACCAGGTACCGCTGTACCCGGTCTCTCCCAGTCTCGCTCGCCAGGGTCACACCGGATTGGCCCGTTGAGGTCCCTGTCTGTCTGTCCTCTTTTTCTCACTGGTCCAGAACTCCAGCGAGCGCTCGTCCCAGTGGGTGCAGGTGGTCCAGCGGTCGGTCCTGCTGTCCTGCAGCGCAGGCACCTGCACCCCACCCAAATCTCTCCCAGGTCGTTTTGCGCTCGCCGCTCGCTCGCTCTTGCTCACTTCTTCTGTGTCCAGTGGCCAGTGCCCACCTCTGCTGTCCGCCCGACCGCATCGGCCATGGACGCCTCTCCATATTTCATATTTACGGATAGACAGGTACATATCTGGACCTGGGTCAGCCCTGGCTTCCTCCCCCCAGCCAGACAGCCCGCCCGTGGAAATCATTAAACCCCCCCAAAGTCCTCCATCCTATCCACTCCCGTTCCTCTCTCTTGATCTCCCTTGGATCTTCTACGCAAGATAGTCGTTGCGTTCTGTTCAGAAACCCCTCCCTCTCTTTTCCCTTCTCTCTCCCCTCGCGCCGTCTCGACTCATCACGCGAGAGACGCCCTCACCGTTCTCTTCCCGCCGCCACTCTTCAACGACTTCCAACGTTCAACGCCTCCCCCCGACTGTCCGGCACAACCGTGGTCCATCAGACAAGCTCCGTCGCACGTTGAACTCTACTTGTCAACGTTTCTGCCCGTCTGCCCGTCTTTGGTCTGATCCTTGGCAGCAGCAGCACCTTGTTCATTATTCTTCTCTCTGTTTCGTCTTATCGACACGACACCGCCGATTTGGCCCTGTCGTTGTTTCAAAGAATCCCAATTTAATCCAGTTCCATCTGTTGTTGCTGTTGTTATTAGTCCTGTCTGTGCAGCCGTCGACGAAGCCGCCCAACACCAACCGCAACGGACAAACCTGCAGATAGATACGCACTGCGCTGCATCGCATCGCATCGATTCCTTGAGAGATTCTCGGCGCACAGTTCGCACACCACGGACCATATGCTCACACATTGGTTCCCTCCCACCATCTTTTTATCATTCCCGACGCGACCTTGAAGGTTCGCACCGACGACCGCGCCTGACCATTCGCTTGAGGCAATCTGGGCTTGTCACTGTCTGTAACACGACAAACCATTCACTCCGGGCTGGACTCGACTCAAATTAGAAGGCAAATACGCAACAACACACCCCCACAAACCAACATTCAACCGGCCGACCCAGATCAGCGGATCGCTCTTACACGGATAGGCAGCGCCTTAGAGAGCCCCTGGCACCACAACGCAAACAACATCGTGACACGATCTATTTCTTACCTATTACTCACAATCACATTAATCAACCTGAATCTCCCACCGCCTGGGCAGACAAGGGTCTAATCTCCCACGCTATTCCGGACGCAGTTGCGTAGTACGCCATGTACTCGCAACAAGCAGCCATGGCGGCCGCAGCACCACAGAAGCCAGAGACTTTCATGCTCAGCACAGAAGCGCAACAAGCATTACCACACGATGCCCAAGTAGCTCTGCAACAAGTTGATAACCGTGAGTGACTCTCCGTCTGTGGCGCATTGTGATATGTTCTTGCGCTTTCCGTAGCTCACTATCGATCGCAGTGAAATACTTCCTCATCTCGGCGCCTGTCGATTGGCAACCCGACCAGTACATCCGCAGGTTCCTGCTACCGACCGGCGAATACGTCTCTTGCGTCTTATGGAACAACCTCTTCCACATCTCCGGTACAGATATCGTGCGATGCCTGTCCTTCCGGTTCCAGGCCTTTGGCCGCCCCGTCAAGAACTCCAAGAAGTTTGAAGAGGGTATCTTCTCCGACCTGCGAAATCTGAAGTCGGGAACGGATGCGTCGCTGGAGGAGCCCAAGAGCCCATTCCTCGACTTCCTCTACAAGAACAACTGCATCCGAACGCAGAAGAAGCAGAAGGTCTTCTACTGGTATAGCGTACCCCACGACCGCCTCTTCCTCGACGCTCTTGAAAGAGACCTGAAGAGGGAGAAGATGAGCCAGGAGGCTACCACCATGGCTGTCAGCGAGCCTGCTCTGTCGTTCCAGTATGACTCTTCGCAATCGCTTTACGAGCAGTTGACGAAGGCTCAACAAGCCAACTCTTCCTCGTTCAACGCCCAACAAGTGTCGTTTCCCCAATCACAAGCCCCATCTCCCGTGATGAGGGCGATGGATCAGATGCCTCCCCCACAAATGATGCCTCAGTCGATGGCCCCTTTAGGGGATGGGATGGACGCCATGGTCCCATACCAGACGATGGCAGCGATGGCTCCGGTCATGCCGGCCATGCCGCAGCAAATGCAGCAAGTGGTCAAGAGAGAACCTGACTATAGCCGTGTTCAGTACAACCAGAACGGTGTCCCGATTTCCCAAGGGCATCAACGCCACACTTCCATGCCTGCGTATGGTCTAGAATACTCCCCTGCTCCTTCGTTCGTCTCGTCTCAATATGAGGATTACAGCAACCGCGGCATTTCCTTCGAGCCGATTACGCCTCCTCAGCAAGCTCTAGGAATCGGTGCTGAGCCCGCGTACATTGCGAACGAGGAGACGGGGCTATACACGGCCATCCCTGACCACCTTGGCGGCGTAAACGGTCTGAACGGCATGATGCAGCTGCCACCATCCAACCTTGCGGGACCACAATTCTCGCGTGGCTACGGTACCAACAATGTCTACTCTGTGATCGAAGGATCCCCGACATATAAGCAGAGAAGACGGCGTTCATCCATCCCTCCTTCAATGTCGGCTATCGCAGCTGCAACAGCTCAGGCTCAAGCCGCTGCCCACCGACCTTCTGACCTCAGGAGGTCTGTTTCGGCGTCAGTCGGACCCTTGGCTGAAAGCGACGAGGGTCAGGACAACTCACCTCCCGGCCTGTCCTACAGCAACTCGGGTATGTCTATGCACAGCCAACAGAACCGAGAAATGCTCGAGATGTCAAGGCATGGCACACCATTGTCGACAGTTGAAGGCAGTCCCGCCCTCAACCCGATGTCTCTTCAGCGACAAGATTTCGTTCAGATGTCTCATGACGACCTCAACGATGGCGGCATGAGTGACCACCGGCATATGCATGGTGGACCGAACGTGGTCCGCAGGGCTCGCTCAGCGACCGTCATGGAGCTGGGTCCCTACCCGCAGAAGTCACACTCATGCCCCATTCCCACGTGTGGTCGCCTCTTCAAGCGCTTAGAACACCTGAAGCGGTAAGATCGATTATTTTCTTTAGTGTCATGTGTGGTGCACCGCTCGTGTATCTGACCAAATATCTAGACATGTGAGAACACATACCCAAGAAAGACCCTACATTTGCCCCCATTGTAGCAAGGCATTCTCCAGATCCGACAACCTAGCACAGTATGACTCCACTTATTTCCTTCGTGTATCTCTCCTTTGTCAGCTTGAAGATCCTGTGTCGAGCAACGATGTTTGTGCACCGTGCACTCGGACCGAAACCAGAAAACTGCGCGAACCCAAGTCATAACACAACACCATAGCACAGCAACAACAACATCAACTCATCACCAGGAGCGACAAGCTTTTATATCGTGACTCGAGGCTAACGAGCAACCTGTACAGACACAAGCGAACCCACGATCGCGGTGAGGGTGGCGAAGGTGGCCTGCATTTGTCAGGTGAAGACGAAGACGACTATTCTGGCGAGGATCACCTTGGGCCCCTCGAGGAGGCATCGCCCAACTCCGAGAATGGCTACTTACCAGCCTCGCTTCACCACTCTATGACTTCTTCGACACCGAACAACAATGGTCTCGCTACTGGTGGCATGCACCCGCAGTCATTCAACCCTCTCCAGACGCTTAGCATGCCTATGACCATGAGCACGCCGACCGGTGCCATGTGACTTTGATGGCACAACTATATTTGTTCTACTGCGATGCATTGATGCATTATGATGAGTCATGCGGTCATTTTCGACAGCTATCGTTGGGCTTAGCGGGTTGATTTTCATGGCATACTGCGGGAGACTTGGGAGTCTTATCTACGCACTGGGGCTTTCTATGAGTAGAGCTCAGCATGATCACGTTGTCGGATGACGTTTTCCATTTCTGTTTTACAAGAGGGATACCAAAACACGAAGCATTGATAGAGGGACAAGCGAGCCTGATGCCAGAGGCAAGTCGCTTCATTTGGCGGCCACAGTGGGATCATTTACCATGGACGATGCAAGAAATGTCTTATTTGCGAAAGAGAAGAGCCTCGTGCATTTGTATATATAGTTCACTTTTATTTCGCTTTGTCACATTCCATGCGTGGTAGCAGGAGGCTGGTGGAGCGGATGATACCTGACATCAAAGAAGATGCCGTCTTTGATCCGAGATGGTCATAGACAATTTCAAGAGAATATCCTACGGGTTAAGATACATAAATAAAGCCGTGTAACAAAACTGTGTGGTATATCTGAAGTGACACAGCTTGATTAAGTCTCGACGATGTGACTAGATGCTCCAACATGCACTCGTCATTTGAGGAGAAAGACATGCTCCAAAAGTAATGCCCGATCCTTCCGCGATCGTCTGGTTGACACGGACAGCTCATCACTAATGATTATCGACAAGTTCGGTTCGGCAGCCGTTGCTGATTTCAGGGTCGATATCGATGTTGTCGATGAACAGAAGGTACTGTCACTTTACTCCAATGTCGAGATACCGTTGGGTTATTTGAAGGACCACCTCGACTTAGAAGAGCCAGATCGCTAGCTGATAGACGAGAGACGGGGCACCAGGGGCAAAGATAGACCAACACTGATTATATTATTCTTGTTTACTCTATGCTATTCGTTATTCGTACGCCCTTATCGTCGCTCGGAGTAGCGAGGAGTTGGCGTATTGTATGTGCTACCTCGTCCTTGTTGAATGCCTGATCAGCAGGTTTTCATGCTTCAGCTGCAACGTTCGAGGCGTCTGCCGGCCCATCACCCGCAACCGAATGCTTACGCCAGACATCGCGCCTGGGCACCCTGCCAAGGTGCTCTGCCCAGCGGAATCCTTAATGCTGGCACCAGATTGTAGTTCGTGGGAGTCCCTCCATCTCGAAGGGTGCCGGAGACCAGCTCCTCTCCATCGACGCTCGTTGTCTCCGCCTTTCTTTCCTGCCTTGTGCTCTCCCCCCTTCCCCTTAACCGCAACAGCCTCCCTCCCCCGCCTACAGAAACCCCTCCGTCCGCACCTCAGGCGGCGGCTTCGGGAACGGCGTCACGCCCAGACTCTGCACAGCCGCGTCCAAATCCGGCACATCGTCCGCGCTGCGCGCGACCTGGCGCCAGCGCACCGTGCCGCCCACATCCACCGCAAACGCGCCGCTCGTCTGCCAGCGGCTGCCGCTCTGGCCCGTGGGGCGGTTCCAGATGTTCTCGTCTTTCGCGAGGCGCATCGCTTTCACCAGGGTGGCTGGGTTCATGACGTGCCAGGTCGTGGACACGCCGAGCCCGAATTGGGAATACAGGTCGCGCTGCTCGTCGATGACTACCTCGACGTCCCAGTTGCCGCCCACTGTCACGACCCAGTATTCGGTGGCTTCGGGGGAGGAGTGGGAGACGGCGACGAAGTGGATCTCGGGGTGACGGTTTGAGAGCGTGGTTAGGTCTTTGAAGGTCTTTTCGGCGACTGTGGTTAAGGGGCGGGTTGTTGGTTAGCTGGGTTTTTTGGTTGTTTGTTTCCATGAGATGGAGATGTGAGTGTATAGGGCGTATGGGCTTTGTGGTAAATGGAAGACTCGGGACTTACAGGGACACCCGCAGTGCCGTAGGAACACGATGATGGTCGGCTTGTCGGCGGGCAGCTTCAGGTTCTCGTTCACGGGCGCCTTGGTGCCGACCTCGGGGACTGGCGCGATCTCCTTCTTGGCGGGCGTCTTGAAGGACGCCCACTCTGTGGCGACCGACATTGCTGAGTTGTAGACTTGAATACAACCTTTTGTACTCGTATTCCGGAGCGATGGGAGAAGGGATATATATGTGTAAAGACGTATGATGCGACAGTGGCGAAAGGAGTTGCGATGTTTAGAGGACCCCTGGATTGCACCCTGCTGGTCATGCCCGTGATAAGAGCTTTATCTTGGCAGTTGGCGGGCAGCTGCATCATCCTGCCTCCCATCTTCCCGCTTCAATGTTCATACTTCGTCGATGAGTGAGGGATTCGAGCTTGCTGTAGATGCTGCCTGATTGAAACATCTTTATTGTCATTGATCCTCGTATTTTCCATCTTGTAAGGTGTGCCCTGACACATCTGACATTTCCTGACATGCGTGAGATCATCACGCTGCAGCTTGGGCAGCAAAGCAACTATGTCGCCACACATTTCTGGAACACCCAGGTGCGCTATCCGTCTGGAAGACTCGCTCGGAACCCCGGCTGACCCGTGGTCAGGAGTCCTATTTCACATACGGAGCGGACGAAGAGTCGCCAGTAGACCATGACGTCCATTTCAGGCCTGGCCTTGGCGCCGATGGCACGGAGACGTATATGCCCAGGACAGTCATATATGACCTAAAAGGCGGCTTTGGGACGTTGCGGCAGCTCAACGCTTTGTACGATACAAAGGACGATGCATCAGCGGCAAGCTTGTGGTGAGATTCACCTTATGAACCCGAGTTGCGGTACGCTCTGCTCACGCAGCGAAGGTCCGGCCAAACAGCCATACACAGACAGCAGCCCATAGAAGCCAGCGCATACCAACAGAGCCTCGATACGGGGCAGACGCCCCCCGAGCTGACCACCAGCGCGGTGCGGTACTGGTCCGACTTCAACCGCGTCTTCTTCCACCCGCGCTCCATCATCCAGCTCAACGAGTACGAGCTGAACTCGTCGCTCATGCCCTTTGAGAAGTGGCACATGGGCGAGGAGCTCTTCGCTTCGCTCGACAAGGACCATGACCTCGTGGACCGCGACCTGCGCCCATTTGTCGAGGAGGCCGATCAGATGCAGGGCATTCAGGTTATGACTGGGCTAGACGATGCGTGGGGTGGGTTTGCGGCCAAGTACATGGAGCGGTTGAGGGACGAGTATGGGAAGACGCCGCTATGGGTGTTTGGCGTGCAAGAGCCTGTCAGGGGTCTACCGAGGGTATGTACTTTCTTGCAAGCACTCTTCACTCGTTCGCTCACAAGAAGCAGGAGAAAAAGATGTTGAAGCTCGTCAACAAGGCCCGAGCCCTAGCGGAACTAAACTCACAGGCATCTCTCATCGTGCCTCTCTCGTTACCCGAGAGTCCTCTGCCGTCGAGTATCCGTCTCGACCCGTCATCCCCTTGGCACGTGTCTGCCCTCTTCGCTGCGGCCATTGAGAGCACAACACTATATACGCGGCTCAAGACGACTGACCGGCTGTACTCGAGCAACCTCGGCAACATGACAGACCTCCTGAACGTGTTCGGAAAGCAGACCATCGCGAACATCGAGATGAGCTCTGTCGGGAAACCGAAATCTCAGCAAAACGGTGCCAACGGCGGTGGTCTTGCTCTGAACGGGCGAGGCGAACACATATCCAGTGCGTATGACGACGTCCCCGAGGACGGGTCAGAAACCGGGTCACAGAAGGGCATGTTGTCTCTAGACGTAGACTTGTCCTCGCCTCAAGACCTTAGCCTCGACCCCGGAAGGAGGAGAGGTCGCAAACGACACGTCTTCAGCCAGGTACAGACGTACAGAGGGCCAGAAGATCCCGAGGATAAACGAAAGGAGGATGAAAACTCCAGGGAGGCGGGATACGGCATGCGGCGCAGAACGAAGGTCCACGAGTAAGTATCACCATCCCTATGCCACAAGTCGGTACCCTACGTTCCAAGCAGACACCTCCATGCCCTCTTTCCTTGCTTCCCTTTTTCCATCGAAACACTCCCAATCCCAGAACTAACTCGCCCGCCCCTACCTAGCTACCGCTCCACGGTCCCCTTCCCCATCATCGACAGCTACCCCAAGATCTTCCGGGACGTGCGCCGGAGCACCACCGACGCCGACGACGAAGACGATGACAAGCCGCCGCGCGAATTCCTGCCGATGCGCACGGCGCTGTCGACCGACACGTCGGTCATGAACAAGGTCAAGGCGCTGCGCACCGCCGTGGTGCGGTCGATCGGGCTCGAGGATCGCGAGACGGTGGGCAACGAGCTGGCCGAGATCGCCGAGGGCTACCGCGAGGGCTGGGATAGTGGCAGTGATGAGGATGATGATTAGGGGATCAGGGGTGCGGAAGCCGCACTGTGTGGGCTGGTCTCTTCGAGTTGGCTTTGGTTGTTGGTAGGTAGTCACATCTCGTCTGCTTGCATTGTGATTAGCAGCCAACCCACCAATCACAAACAGATCATCATCGCCTGGTACATTCTCTCACCGCATCTTCTCTCTCTCTACCGTCGACTTGCCGAGAAACAACTGCACTCCGCCATCAGCGTCCTCCTTAGGCCTGATTCTGCCCCTTTCAGCGGTGCTCTTATTCGAGAATGCCTCTTTGGACATGCGACTTTGAAAGCTGCCAGAAATCAGCGGTCCCTGGCCTCGGCGGCCTCGGCGAATGCGTATTATGCGACCGCCATCTATGTGCCAACCATCTACAACCCGAGTTCCACAGCTGTCCTCGGTGGGAGGTTAGTGTACTCTCTTGCTCTATACCGAAGGTCAAGGCATTGACCCATGGTTCGGTACACGTAGGACGCGGATGCTTACGACCCTGCGGCCGGTACGGCCGTAAAACGGGAGCTCACGCTGCTGTTTGAGAAAATCAACATCCGGGCTCTTGAAGCTCGAGCCAGCCATCTACGCCGAGGCACGCCCTGCTCTATCCCACCACTTCGCTATGATCGAGCGACGCGGAGCTCCGTCATGGGAGGCATGAACTACCACTTTGATGTTCCCTTCGAGGATGGAGTCACGTGGATTGCCCGCATCCGCAGGTTCAATGCTACATCGCCCTCGGCGGCACTACGCGACTATATCATCCAGAGCGAGGTTGCCACCCTCAAGTTTCTGGAGCAGACCAGTGTGCCCGCTCCCAAGGTCCACGATTTCGACCTCGAGGGCCCAGACAATCCGGTAGGAGTCGGCTTCCTTCTTTTGGAGAAGCTGCCCGGCAAGGCTTTAAGTTGGGGCCTTGCGAATCAGCAACAGAGGAAAACGGTCATGAGCGAGGTGGTGGGCATCTTCATCGAGCTTCACAAGTACCCCTTTCCCCGTCTCGGCTCCCTAGACAGCCCTGGCGACCGCCACGTCGGCGCATTTGCCGAAGAGTCGCTCACCGACTTTGACTCTGAGCAGTCTGGCAGAATGCGCGGCATGGGGCCCTGCTCAGGGAGGAGTATCACGTGTCGTCGCTGCGGCTGATCCTGGATCTGATCATCCGAAAGGAGATGTACTCGCAGCAATCAGTGGACGCCTACCTCATCCACCGATTTCTCCTCGACCTCGCCCCTCTGGTGTTACCACCGTCGTCGGTACCGGATGACGGCTTGTTCTACCTGAAGCACGCGGACGACAAGGGGGATCACATCATGATCGACGAGAATTACCACGTCACGGGGATCATCGACTGGGAGTGGGCGCACACGGCGCCGGCCGCACTTGCCTTCAAATCTCCCATTGGCTTCCTGCCCGTCGGGGATTTCTACGATGGGAAGAACGACCTAGGCGATGACGAGGTCGTCTTCGCGCGCCTCCTCGAGGAGAAGGGCCGCCGGGGCCTGGCCCAGTGTGTTTGGAACGGTCGATTACAGCATAGGTTCGCCTTCTGCTGCGGGTACGACTTGTCGGGCTGGGATGGGTTTCTGGGCCTTTTCCGTGGGCTGAGAGAGGCTGTTAAGGTGGACGCGGGCTTGGAATGGGACGAGTGGAAGGCTGTGGCTTTGGACCGTTACAGGGACGACGCTGGGCTGAAATTGATAGCATCGACCACCTAGTTGCGCATTACCCCTGACGCAGCACTGAGTAATCAAAGGACAGTTTTTTTCTAATCAAAGCTATCTATGACCGCAAGTGCCATGTTAAGTATTCCTTATTGATGCCCCTAGCTTGATTGGCAGTTGTGGTGTCAGATGTGATGGTTTCCGAACAGCCTGCCTTGAAGAGCCCCAGTCCTCTTGCGCGTGACCGCCCGAGGTCGTCGACGCCCTCGAAGCAATTCCAAAATACACTCCTCCTCTTCGTAAAATATTGATCAACAGACTACCTCCCCCTCTTAGAAAAAGGGTTTTACAAACCGGCAACCACTGCCAAAACCAGGATGCCGAAAATACCAACGACTATGGGCGCCAGACCCTGGGCGAGGTGTTCCTCGTTCTACGCAGACGCAAGTGCGCCCAGCAGCAACACCACGACGGCGGCGTAGACCAGACTTTCGCAAGCCCAAGGTTTGCGGCCGAGCCATCTTCTGGCCGCGCAAGTACCAACAGACCGTGGACTGGGTGCGCAGGGTAGGTTCCGAATTCAGGTGATACTCGTGAAAATAGTTGGGATCTTACGAGGCGTTGGCGAGTCAAGAATGAGATGGCTGATGGGGATGAGACGGCAGAAGATTTCGTCAGTTCCATCTCTTGGAAGCAACTGTCGACTTCATCCAGTGGCTACAAGTTTGCGTGCATAAGTTCGCGTAGAGATCTGTTTACATAGAAGGGGATCCTAGCATGGCGTGGGATTGTTTCGGGAAGCCGACAGTTGTTCGGAAACGGTGGAGTGGTGGACCTTCTCCGGCATCGTCATCAGCATTGTTGTCGTTGCTACCAGATGGGGTTCGGGTGCGGATATGGCGCGAAACGGTCGGAGTCTCAGGGGCATAAGACTTCGAAGTCGCGAGTTCCTTGGTGCGTTCATCCTCCCCCAGGTTGTGCGATTTGCTTATTGGTTTAAAGCGCGGCTAGGGTGCGGTTTAAATGTGCTTACGCTCTCGCTTTCGCTTGCGCTCAATGCTCTTGAGGGCTGACATGTCGGTCGTGAATTTCTTAGGGCTCTCCGGCGAGGCTGCCTTCATCTTGTTCTTCGACTGTTCAACGGACTCGAAATGCTTGCTCGTAGTGGCCACGAAGAAAGCTATTATATCCGTGGAAATATGAGTTGGAGCGAGACTGGCGACTGACCCAAGAGATTGCATTGCAGATCTGAACCCTCCAGCTTTCAGCCCGGCCCTAGTAGTCGGCCACAGTCTGCTCGAGTGCGGATCGGGAACCTCAGGTCCCCATGTCCACATCCAGTGTAAGGAAATCTGGAATATTGACCTTCTGGCAAGCCATCCTCTAAGTTAGGCACTGCGCCATAATCTCAGCCTTAAGCTGAGCCCCCAGTATTACAATGTTGAGTCTGGGAGCCTCATCTACCCGGAATGGGTTCTCGGTATTGCGCTCTGGCTCTAATAGAGGAAGACGTATTCGGTCTCGACAATGCGAGAGAAGAATGAGCTCATCGTGGGCTTGCAGTCAATATAGGAATTGGTCCGAGGCTGCTTTCCTGCTTATTACTCAACGCATTGTATCCCTGCGTGTCGTACCCAGTCCACCATGTTGTAGTAAGTGAGGACATACGAGAGCCATTGTCACACTGGACGAGCGCCAGGCATCGGTGTTGTAGGCATTGGCGTTGTAGCCCTCGACGTTATAGGCGTCGACGTTGTAGTTTTGGAACAAGGCAGCGAACTGCTGCTCCTGCTGGATGACGGACTTGATTAAGAGGATGGAATTGTTATTGGTGCAACTGACAAGAGTCGAGAGTAGTTGTGAATGCGGAGAGCAACGGTGATGGGGATGCAATCGTGGGAAAGTAGAAGCACAATACCGGATGGTCAAGAGGTCTGGAATAGTATCAAGGTATATGGAGAGGAATATTCCAATTCTTTTGGTTGTCGCGAAGCTGTTGGCGCGCGATGGTGTAGTCCATTGAGTCCGGGTCGACCTCCTTCTCATACACCTGGTTGATGGGGGCCTGCTCTGTTTCCGGGATGTGCCGGTGGTACAAGAAGATCTCCCATCGAGAAGCCCGGTTTGACTTCCGGTTTCGCTCATCCTGCCGCATATTAATATGGCATAGTAATATTGGAAGCAATGGCCCATGAGCTGGGTGCTTACGTCTTAGGCGATCTCACCGTCGGCGTCTACCGGCCGAGCACGCGGTACGAACGTTGGGTCGCGTGTGATGGTGACTGTCTCGGGATCGATGTGAGCGTCCTCGGTGTCGAGTACGTCCCAGTCTGGGGTTGGGGAGGGAGAACAGTCCCAGGATGGCAGCATCGAAAGCGTTTTGTGGTTTCCGTGTGCTAGCCTTTGCTGGAGCAAGCTCATTTGGCATGCCCTTGCGATAGCATACTTGGGCTTTGACCGCGACGTCTATGCGCTTCATGTTCATTTCTTCCGAGTCCCCACGCTTGATCAGAGAGCACAAGCTGCTCTCCTTCGTCGTTCCAAGTGGCAGTTGCGTAGTCCATAGTTTAGAACTTATCCAACAAGGCGTGTGTGTAGCTTATGGCCTCGAAGGAGGGCCCGGATTCCACCGAAAATATGTTTCACACGAGTGCTGAGAGGTATCGGTAGCGGTGGTTGACGAATCGGAATATGTTGCTCAAACAAAAACAACTATTTTTCTTGGCGCCCCGCTGTTAGGGCGCAACCTCGATATCTGCACTAAAGCAGGCATTTCTCTCAGTAACTGACTATCTTTGTCAAGGCACAAGAGAATTTTTTTCACAAGCCGGATAGCACCCTTCCAGGACGGGCCCCCAAACACGCCCATGGCCGTCCCAAAGACGACCACTGGCGGCGTGCTCAAATCCCCGGCCCCTAGAAAGACATACGGCCTGGCACCTCCGAGCAGGCTCCGCCAGGCGCTGCTTGACGACATCAGCAGCAGCCCGTCACAGGTCTCTGAGGCTGATTTCACTGTTATTTCCCCTCTGAAAGGAAAATCCTGAAATGTTAATAATAACAGCACCACTGGAATGAAACGATCTCAATTAAACGAAATCTCTATAGACCAAGCCATTACACGCGATATAAGGAATAAAGCCTCCTCTTCAGAATGCCAGGACCAAGTTGCTAAAATACTGACTAAAGACAAGCACCTCTATGAAGCCAGGATAACAATGTTTCAGGAGTATGCTGTAGCAGTTGATAAGACACTTAAGAAAGCTGGAACCGAACTATACTCTCATGCCAAGGAGTTCAACGCTTTCTTTTCTATATGTCTGAGCGAGTGGTTGGAAACCCGAGATCCGCCCAAAAGGAAGACCATTCCTGGGGGGATAGGGATGGTGAAGCCCACCATGACCTTCGCCCAAGTTATCTCCTCTAGCCAGCGACAGCATCCACAGACAGTCAACACTACCATAAAAAAAAACACAGCCTGGCGCCCTTATCACTACCAATTAACTAAAGAAGAAGCAGGATGATCTCCGGGTCTTTGTCCGCATAGATAATAGCCACCTAGAGCCTTACGGAATAAGAGAAATGACCCGGTGCCCCTCCGGATTTACCTTACACCCAAGGGATAAGCCAACTCAGGCTAAGCTCCTGGCCTTCTAAGAAGAAATCACTGACATTCTCAAGGCAAAAAAGATCGAGACCCACACGGTCTGGTATCACTACAAGGTCAATGGATGCCCAAGAAAGGTCATCAGTGCGGAAGGGTTGACAATCGACATTACCGATATTGCTGTTGCTAATGAAGTTGAAGCCTAAACAGGTGACAGACCTTTCAAGGTGCATACTCTCAAGGAACACAGTTGATTCTGATCCGGAGACCACATGGATGATCTCTCTGTCTTGTGCAGCAAAGAAACCATTCACGCTTTTTGCTCACTTAATGACCTCAAGGCACATTCAATACTCCCCCAAGGTTCACCAGTGTGCGAGCTGCTTCAGATACCATGGTAGGAACTACCGATGTGAAAAGCAAGTATGTGCACGTTGCGCCAGCGCAGTACACCAGGGGGATTGCGAAAAACCAATCCCAAAGTGTGTCAACTGCAAAGGACCTCATGCTGCCAATTTCAATAAATGCCCTGCCCGCCCCAAGGTTGTAAAAGGTACCATCCATAAGCACACATGGGAACAAATCCAGGAAATAAGGCTAGCCAGAGAAAAAGCCAGATCCAAGGCCTTCAATGAAGCAGGCAGAAACCAAGCTGGGTTAACACCCAGCAATAATAACAAAGACACCACAATACAAATCGACACAACAGATACAACTCATCTCAGAGATGCCGATACCATTGTTGTCAGTTAATGTTAGGTACATCAAACGAAACACATCGACACAGGCATCTAGTCATCCATTCTGTGAATACAGCAGGAGGACAAAAGAGTGCAGGCCCTACAGAGTTAGCCATCAACCTGGCTGACTACAAAGGAGAACAAGCAGACATCATTCTGATGCAAGAGCCCTGGGTTGGTATACCACCAGGCAGGAGAATGGGAGTAAAGACACACCCCAATTACAATATATACTCCCCAGTGGATTCCTGGGACAGCGACAGTACACGGCCCAGATCTCTCATCTATGTGAGAAAACACCTTCAAGCGGATCAACTTCGGCCCTATGCTACACGAGACATCACCTGGGTCAAGGTACATGGCATCACATTTGCCAGTGTCTACCGACCATGTGACAACCCACAGGAAGTGGATGATATTCTAGAAGTATGGACTCCACCTTTTGGCTGTGTTATAGCTGGAGATTTTAATGCTGACGACACATCCTGGGACTTGAACAATCCAGGATATCATGGTGGCGTCATACTGGCACAGACTATGGCAGACCACGGACTGGATCTGATTTCTGAACCAGATGTCCCAACACATGACGATAAAAATGTACTGGATCTGGTGTTCTCAGATGTCCCCATGGCTGAAGCCTCAGTCAATGATGCACTTCAGTGCACCTCAGATCATGAGACATTACGAATAGTCATTCCAATTCAGGGAGATCGGGACCGAATTCCTAAGGCCAATCATTGGATAGTACCGGACGATAAACTACAAGAGCTGGCAGACAATGTCCAAACCAGGATTCATGAACTCCCCCGGCTGGGTGTATCCCCTGGCCAGGTGGATACCTTTACACAAAGCTTGATCAATATGATTCAAGACTGTATCAGGACAATGGGCAAGAAGCCCCGTCAATCTAGGCCCACTGCTTGGTGGAATGATGACTGCAAAGCAGCTATTCAGACATACAGGATCCTTTCTAAACAGACCACAAGCCAAAAAGGGCGAAATTCAGCCCGACGGGAATTTCGCCGTGTGGTCCGAAAAGCTAAGAGAGAGTACTGGCAGACTCTAATTAATTCAGCAACTGAACCAAAAGACCTGTACATAATTGTTTCCTGGCACAAGCTGTCAGCAGGATTGCGTTCCCCCCTAATCATCATAGGGGACCACATCTTTGAGTCACAAGAGAGCAAGGCAAATGCACTACGCTTAGCCACGCTTGAACGAAGTACCCCAGACAACGATATCATCGACCCCTGGTCTGCTCAGATCACACAAGCCAAGCCACACATCCCCCTTGAATACTATGTCGGACTAGAAGAGGCTGAAGGGTGCACTATAGGGACCAAGAGCAACTCCCCAGGAGTAGACACCCTCACAGTACGGATTCTGAAAGCTTGCTGGCCAGTCATTGGGGAGCATATCAGAGCCCTTTTCCAGACCTGTCTACAGATTGGACACCACCCTAAACCATTCAAAGTAGCTGAGGTGGTGATGATCCCAAAGCCAGGCAAGAAAGACTACTCTAACCCCAGGGCCTACAGACCAATATCGCTATTATCATGTCTTGGCAAAGGCCTAGAACGACTCATTACAAAAAGAATTGCCTGGTTTGTCATCAAACTCGGAATTCTAGCTCCACAACATTTTGGAGCTCTGCCAAAGCGCTCTGCCGCCGACTTGGTAGCTGCACTCATACACGATATTGAGCAGGCCCTTGACCAAGGCCTTGTTGCAACGGTAGTCACAGCAGATGTGACAGGGGCCTTCGACGCTGCCCTAATGGGACGGCTGGTGGTTCGCATAAGAGAACAGGGCTGGCCAGACTTTCTCATAAGATGGGTCCAGTCATTCATGTCTGAACGGTCCGCAAGAGTTCGGTTTGAAGGTATTGTGACCGACATAAAAGCTCTCACTTGTGGGCTACCACAAGGCTCACCAGCTTCTCCAATCCTTTATATGCTGTATACAGAGCCAATCTGTGCCCGACTCGGTATGAAAAGGAGACGCTTTGGATATGCAGACGACCTAGCGACTCTCTGTATTGGAAAGGATCTTAAAGAAACAGCCAAAGAGGCTTCTGAAAATCTTTATTTGCTCAATCAATGGGGACATAACAATGCTATTGAATTTGATCCCGACAAAACCGAGATCATGCACTTCTCACGGAAAAAGAACTCAGACAATCCTCCGGTCCGCCACAGGACAATAAACAGAACAGCAAAGAACTCCATGCAATAGCTGGGTGTCTTCCTAGATAGAAAACTGAACTTCAAAGATCACGTTTCCTACTGGGCCAAGAAAGCTAGTAGGGTAGCAAACCACCTTCGAGGACTATGCAACACAGTTAAGGGACTTCCAATAAAGTCAACCAAGAGGGCTGTGAAAACTTGTGTTATTCCTATTCTTACACATGGCCTAGAGGCCTGGTACCCAGGAATGGAAAAAATTGGGAGCTTAGGTGGGACATCAGCATGTCGCATTAAAGGGCTTCTTAGAACGATAGATACTGTACTACGAATGGCAACCAGAGCTATCTTGCCAGTCTGGAAAATACACCCTGGACATATCCTACACTTTGAATCACAGATTCCTCCAGCAAGAATTCTTGCAGAGTCAATAAGAAGACGTCACGGCCTCCGACTCAGACGAGTAAACCAGAGACACCCTCTTGTTGGCAGGTTCCAAATACAAGCTCGCAAAGAACCAATAAGGCTATAAAGGAGCTTCCAACTAATCCCTGACTTCCAGAGACCAATACTTACCAAGCCATTATGGAAGAAGCCCCCAGTCCGTAAAGACAAAGACAAA